AATATAAAAAAGGCTCCAGATATAAAATAGACTTTTATAATAAACATGCCACATGAATAGGTGCTAATATTAAAAAAGTTAGAGATATGATCAAGAGTTCGTCAACTGGATTACAGCTGTTCTGGGACACCTAAAAATTTTTTTGTTTCCCAAAAGCTTTTCGATCCTGTACTAAGAATCACTTAACCTTTCGGGGACTTCACTATGGAGACAGCGATGTGCTTACCGAAAAGTTAGGTAATTCTTAAAACAGGATTGAAAAGGTTTCGGGAAACAAGAAAATTTTTAGGTGCCCCAGAATTTATGAAAACAGCTGTAAATGTAAGATTCTAAAAAATTGATAAAATGTTGCAAAAGCTTTTCAATACATCCATATCTTTGAAAACCAGAAAACAGACTTATAGAAGATTTGCTAACATCTAAACTTGACAATTTTTCGAATCAATAAGCATTCTAAATTTTTTCAATCATAAAGTTTTGGAGTTTCGAGGTTTCGGAAGGAATTTCAGATTTCGGGGTTTCGGATAGAGTTTCGGGTTTCGGGAAACTATAATCCAAAACCCGAAACTTTCAGATTTGGCAAAAAAGGTTTCGGTGACCAACTCTAACATATAGTATGTATAAAGCTTATGTACCCGGGTATAAATCACCGTCTTGCTAATAAAACTGATAGATGTCTGACTTTTACGTATTCTGATTGGCTGATTTGTTAAAAATTGGGTAACAACCACGTATAATTATATTGTAATCATCTGCGAATTTGAACAGTCGCTCCTATTTCTTCGTAAAAAAGTGTGTTACGACCCTGACGTATACACTATTGTTAAATTGTGCCATGTAAAGGCCTAATTCGTGCATCTCGCAAGTCAGTTTATGCTTACGACACTGAGTTAAATTCAGTCTGGCAATAGAAGTGCTCTCCCAAGTCGTAACGACAAACATAGTGCAGGTGTATAGTGAAAATAATTAATTGAATTTTTTTATATCAACAATAGTAAAATAATATAAAATTCAAACTGCAATAACTCCTGAACCTGTAAGTACAAAAAATAAAATTACACTTGTCGGGTTCATTTTAGCATGCTCTTTAAACTAACAACACCTTTTTTATTTATTTTTATTGTTTAGAGCATAATGGGTGTCCCAATTAGGGATGGGTTCGGTCGGCTACGGTCAGTTATCGGTCAGCTATTATCGGTTATTATCGACTAATAGCCGGCTATAACTGGTTATAGCCGATCAGAAATTTGGCTTTATTAATTTGCTCCAGTCATATGGGCTGATTTTTTTGTCATACTTTTCAAAACGATCTAACTCTAGTTAAATCTGCAGATCATTTGGCCTTGGTTTATCAGTTTTAAAACTGATATCGTGCCAGTACAAATTACTATGTAATTTTACTGTCATGTGTCGATCGACGAAAATAAGCCAATAATAAATTTCGATTTGGTTTAACGTTATGCAATCAGAAAAAATGAAACTACCTTCTGCAAAAGTTTTTCTTGAATATTTTACTATTAAAACCTACAATTATAACACTAAATAAAGCTTAAACCTACTTTAAATAAATCACGTGACAATAAAAATTTTGTTGGCGCTCCCGGGGAAGATTTTAATTGGCCCGATATCATGTGCAAATTAGCCGGTTAGCTAAGCAGCTCTAGTCTACTATTATCGACTACAGCTATAATCGGTCAGCTAACCAACTATTTGATAACCGAACCCATTCCTAGCCCAATCAGGGATCCGTAAAATTTAGTTCTAAAAATTTAAAAATTTTTTTGATAATAACAAAAAATTTAGTTTAAATTAATGGATATTGTGATTTATTGCCATAGCGATATATCGCTGCCCCTTATCGACCAATTAGAATACAAGATCAGGTGTAATGTGAAATCAACTGAAAATGTCAAGATTTTGTCTATAAAACTATCTCATACGCTCTAATTAAAAAAATTACTTGCAAAATTTTAGGTTAGAAACTTCTTTTTTTAAAGCCACATTTAATCCTAGTATAAAACTAACCCTAACCTTAAACTAACGCATTATTATTTATTGTTTTGATTTACATTACACATGATCTTATAAGTGGTGATACATCGCATAGGCGAAAAAATATAAAATTCTAAATTAATAAATTTTGATTTAAATTTAAAAAAATTTATAAATTTATTTTTTATTTATAAAATACAATATTGTAAGTATCTAAAATAATTTAATACTTAATTTTTTGAAGAATATTATTGTAAGAACACAAGTTTATAATTTGATTTATTGCAATACTGAGTAAATATAAAAATAGAATTTTACTAAAACACACCTATAGTGTTTTACACCTATGTATACATTATCTCAAAAACTTGTAATTAATCGATGTGAGGTGTTCTAAGTAAAAATGTTCTTTGCTTCCAAAAACCCTTCCAAACCTTAATCCTAACCTTAATATTAACTTTAACATGAAAAAATTGGTGTTAAAAATTTTATACACAAAACTTATAAAAACAGAAAATTTTAAAAAACATAATAAAAATATATAATAGATGCAAAACCACTATAGGTGCGTTTGATAATAATTGTAAAAATAATTAGAAATCAAATCTTTTATTCTAGATTAATTTGTAAATAGATATAAATTGTTAAACTAAAAATATTTAAACCTAATATTCTATAATTAATTCTAATATCATTTATATACAATCTATTATATTGGCTAATTATTTAAAACTTAAAACATATATCTGATTACTGCTCTACAATAAAATATTATTAATCTAATAATATCTTCTTATAAGAAATAAAAAATAATAAAAAAGCTATATATAAACAAACACAGAGATATAAAAACTATGATAAAAAATACAAAAATAAAAAAAAAAAGAGAAATACTAATTAAGAAATTATATATAGTTAGATATAATAGTCTTTTTATAATTATATTATTTAATATATTTAAATAATATATAAATAATTATAGATTTCTTTGTAGTTAAAGTAGAAAGTTTCTTTTAGGTCAATAGTAAAACAATTATACTTTGAAGTCACTAATCACAAGGTTATTATTTCAAATCCTACAGAAGATAAAATTGATAACCAAAACTCTGATTAAAAAATAAACTGAAAAATTACAATGCTACTGATTTATAAAATAATAATAATACTAATAAAACAATATAGCAACACTATTTGGTAATAGCAATATTAGTATCAATAAATACAAAAATAGAGAAAATTCTATCTTCACTTGGAAGTAAAAATGAAAAAACTGATCTGGTCTGACTGGTGAGCCCCAGCTCTGGATATAATAGTATCAATGTAGAATACAACATGGAATTCTAGATCAAGTTAACTATATCTTACAAAATTTCTACAAAAAATTCAGAATACAAAATAAGCTACAACAAATGTATAAAAATAGATATATTAAAAGAAAATATAAAAACTGAAGAATACAGATGGAATAAAAAAAATAGAAAGATTAGAAAAAAAAATTAGATACTGATAGTTCAAGATATTGTTTACTTATTAAAATACATATACCAATATATTTTTAATCTTTTGTTTACTTTTATAAACACCTCTAACTTCCAATATCATTAGCTTAAATCTAATTACTATATGTTTTAATATATTTTGGTTTGAATATCAAATATGCAAGAAAATCTACTAATCAAAGCTTGATCCTGGCAAAAGCTACTTGAGCATATTCTACTTTTTAGTGTTTCATGTTTTGTAGCTTTATTGACAATATATCTACTTGTATAATATCAAGTGTATTATCTACTTTTAATATATTCTATTTTTCTGTAATTTGATTTTCTGAAATTGTTGACCAAAAGATTATCACAAAAAATCTATTTTACACACTACTTAGAAATATAAAATTATTAATAATTTTTTTAAAATATTAAAAATAAAAAATTACTACCAAAATTATGTAAAAATAACCTATGCATACTCTATCTTTAAAGTTTTAAAAATTATTTATTAGCATATTAGATTGCCGATTTAACTTTTTAATTAAAGTTAAAGGCAAGTTTTGCAATAAAATTGCCTTCCCGACATTTTTTGTTAATGCTCCACGGTAGGTTTAGACACTCGTTTCTTGTATTTTTCGTTTTTTACTTTTTTTTACTTTTTAACTTCGGGCTGATCCAGGTTGATCAAACTAACAAGTTTATTGGCCACATATCACGTGATTGCACCCTGCTTTAAACGACCCCTAAATTAGACAACGATAATGGATCGTTATAATTTCTAAATTTAGGGTCGGCTAAAGCGGAGTTAATTCAATATATGATCTACATGCTGCATAAATTACATTCTTGATAGCCCTAAACTTCACTCCGCGCCGACCACTAAATTTGGTGGTGTACACATAAATGTATCCTATCCTAGAGTAACCAATCATAGTAAATGGAAAAATCCCGGACTGCATTATGAGAATTGACCCAGAATGGAAATGATAACCACGACAGTCAACATATAAACAAGAAAATGCAGACCAGACGAATTATCAAAGATTGTCATGATAGAAAACATAGTGGGCAAGTATATGCTAACATTAAATTTTAAGAGTATGCTAACATTAAATTTTAAGAGCATGCTAACATTAAATTTTAAGAGCATGCTAACATTAAATTTTAAGAGCATTAAATTATGATAGCACTAAATTTATTTATAATTACAAATATAAAGGTATTAATATGTAACAATAATTTAACATAGATACTACGACATTAATTATCGAAGCGATTTGGAAAAAATTTTTTATAAAGCATAATCCACAAGTCATCTCGCTTCGTCAGTTTATTCAAGAAACTTTACGTATATCACGAATTTCTTGGACCACACTCCAAATGGCATTATTTTATCTCATGCGAATCAAGCCTAAAATAGCAACACTTGAAGTAAAAGACACAACCAAAACCAATAACAAAAGTGATCCAGCTACTTGTGGTCATCGGATGTTTCTTGCATCAATTATAATAGCATCCAAATATCTTCAAGATTGCAATCATGCCAATAGTGCATGGTCAAAGATATGTGGCTTACCTGTGAAAGATATTAATGCAATTGAGAGACGCTTTCTTATTCTTATTGATTATAATCTTTTTATAAAGAATAATATTTTTCAGAATTGGTCCAATTGCTTGAGATCAAGTATCTATTCTTTTTCTAGATCAGAAATAAAGAAAAACGAAGTTTTTAGTAAAGACGAAGATCAGAGAGCTATTGCATAATTTGTTGAATATCAAGCATTACTTTATTTGATTACGAACGTGTTATTTTTTTTTTCTGTCAGCGTTAATGAAATTATTATTTATTCGAATAAATAGCATTTATTCCAATAAATAGCTCTAGACTACAAAAACATCGATTTATAATATATGTATATTATTTGATGTACGTACAGTACTTACAATGAAAATGGATGTTAACTCAAAAAAAATGTAAATTTTTACTAAAACAAAATGTAAATTTTTACTAAAACAAATTAAAAACGCAGTAAAATCTAATTATTGTGATAGGTTAACATTTTTCTTGTTGATTTGTCTGTTTATTAGCAAAGTATCTAACATCGATAAGTAAGGGATTTCAATAGGCATTATTAAGGTATGAAGGTAGGTACGTAGATTACAAAAGATTCACTTTACTCTTCATATGAGGCTACACGAGTTTTCTAAAAAGGTAAACTCTATAAAAAAATCTTCGATTGAGTAACCATCTACAAATGATGGGCCGCTCCATCTTGTAACACAAATAAAAAAATTAACTAGATGAAAAGACTAACAATAACGTATGTTATATATGTTAATAAAAAAATTTTTGTAATATTTTTTATACGGCATTTTCTATGTATCGGATTTTGCATTTACCAACTGACGTTATCCGAATTATTTTAAATCCGTACCGGATTTAAAATATATTCGGACGTGTATAACTCACGTGCATAAAAATGATAAAATTTCAAACCGGTCAACAGTTAGTATGCAAAATCCAATAAATATAAATGCCGAATAATCCAGTTATTCGAGCACGAAGTACTCATAACTACGGTACAATAGTATTCTAATTCTAGTAAAGCGCCATCGCGTTTTACTAGTATTAGAACACTATTGTACCTTACCGTTATTTGCCATATGATTTGACTGGTCGAGTTTTAAGCACCTTCGGTGCTTAAATCGACCAATCAAATAGCATACAGCAAATAACTATTAAGTATTTGCGAAAAAGATCACATGATGAATTTCAAATTGTTAAAATACATGTAATGATGTGTATGTTCGTACGTACGTAAAGTTATGAAAGCATGCAGTTTAAAACGAACATTTTAAGTATCGGTATTGTACAATGAAATTTCTTTCCAAATTTAGAGGTCGTCTAAAGCCAGGTAGTTTTTAAATTGATTAATAATAAATGTTACGGATTATCGTGAAATCAGGGTCTCGATTTGAAAATATAAGCCCTACCAAAATCCACCTATACTCTTTTATTAATAATTCTAACCCTAAATCCTAACTTAACTATAAAAAAAAGCCTACAAAAAAGGCCCTAAAAAATTTTAAAAATCGTACATAAAATAGATCCAAATTTCACGATAATCCGATTTCACGATAATCCGTGACAATAAATTTGTAAAGTAAAAATCAGGTGACACATATAAATTACTACCTGGCTTTAGACGGTTCCCCAAATTTCAAAATTTAATACTTACAATGAAATTTTGTTATTTTCATTTCAAATTTAAGAAACTTATACCAATCCATTGGTTCCGGCCTACAAAACGCCACCGTTTTATTAATACAAATATGGAATTTGTACGTATGTCGTAATTACGTAAATCACATCATGCGATAGACTAATTAAGAAATTCTTTAATATTTGCATTACTTTCGGTGATTTCGCAGAAACGGTAAATTAATTTTACCAAATATATAAATTGTGCGACAAAACCCAAAATCCATCCCTTTTAAAAAAATACAAAATCTCAACGCCCATCGAAATGTTGATATATTACTATTGGTTTACGACTAATATACGTAATAATTAAAGCTGTATGCGTACATGCGTATGTATGTACTCTAAATGAAACTATCAAAATGAGTATTGATTATTATATTGATTGTTGTTGATAAGAATCGCTATTTCTAACTTGTATAAAATTACAATGGCAACAAGGCAATCTATCCAAAGAATCATATATGATGAAAATCTTGGCAAATAAGATTTCCTTGTTTCGCTTGGTGGTACTCTTTTAGTTATTTTATTTACTGCCACTTTCAAATGAACCCTGTGGTAAATTGATGAATTAGGAAATCCTAAATGCGAATAGTAAACATTAAAGACTAAATTGATGTAAATACAAAAATAAAGATTCCAATTAGAGATCAATTGGAATAGATATTGAAAACTTTAAAAGTTCGGAAAATACCACAAATTCCCAAGAAATTATGATCTCCATTCATTCACTCCTTTTTGAAAACAACTTCTAAACATCATGACATATCGAGACCCATGGTATTGGCTTATATAGTTCCAGACTCGTTAGATAATCAAATCATACGATATAAATCATACGATATAAATCATACGATATAAATCATACGATATAAATCATACGATATAAATCATACGATATCAATCATACGATACAAATCATACGATATCAAATCTTATAATAAATAAATAACTTGAAAAAACATGCTATTATTCCTATGCTTATAGTTACTTATGATGATGCAGGTTTAGATTACCCGAATTGAATTAATTTAGAAATTTCCAATCGTGATAAGCTTTACAAAATATACAATAGTGCCACAAAAAATAATATTCTCACAAAAAAATAAAACAAATATAGTATTTAAAATAAGGTTGGAATAGAAAAGTTTTAAGGTAAATATAGCATTTTGACAAAGCTAAAGTTGTCAATATAAGAAATTTCTTGTATTTAATATGAAAAATTGGATGTCTTTTCTCTCAATACTTTGCTTATTTGAAATCAACTCGGCTATGAGTATAAACCCTTCTGGAACGCTAAAATGGTCAAGGCTAATATACTGTTCGAAAAAAAATGTAAATTTCAAGAAAGCGGGTTATTTTGACGAATTGATAATATCTAGTGAGAATATATCGTAAACTAGTGGTTATATTTGAATGATTTTTACTAGGGATTGTCCAAACTCAGTTCGTGTTGTCGTAATCACGTGATTTCAATTAGGAACTTTTAAACGGTTACGGCACGATTCCCCGAAAGCCATTTACCCAACAGGTGACAAATTGCTAAAAATATTACCTACAGCTAATTAAATGCTAAACCTAACCTATGTGATGTCGGGTAAATGTAAATGGCTTTCGGGAAATTGAGAGACAACCCTTTTAAACTCAGTACTGCGAAATCGATTTCTTAAGCCAAATGCTTCACGATTTGTAATTTAACTTTTTTGAATTAAAAGTTAATTTCCATAACATAAATAATGTAAATGAGTTTCGTAATATTTTTTAATTAAAGCTAAACTTTTTTTTAAAAAAAAAAATAAGTATCCTTGTAGAAACATTTTCAATTGTTATAAATATGTAACATTTTTTTTTTCTTATTTTTATATGATGAGCGAAGAAATCACACTTGAACAACCTAATAATATAAGTGAACTTACCTCCACATCGTTTCGACATTATCTCAGCATACACAACAAACCACCCTCAAAACGATTTAAAACTGATCCCTTCTGGGATGAGCTATTGAAAGTGACGACAAGTAATATTGCAAACATTGTAATCAAGCCTCTTCAATGAATACAGGTTTTTCTACGATAAAAATGCATTTTAAACTTAATCAACTGAATAAGTGGAATTAATAAGAAGTATTAGTAAAACGAATGTTGAGCCAATATAGATCTGAAGAAAATATTGGCGCAGGCCTTTGTTTGAAAACGTGATTTGAATCGGGTATGATTGAATATATGAGGGTCAATAAATAACAAAAAAATAAATCACTGCAATGCATACGTAATATACAAATATTGATTTTTCTTTCTTTCTTTTTTTTTTTTTGAAGAATGAGGCCTGGGCTTATCTACACTTCACTATCGTAGTACCATAAAGTTGATTACAGCTGTTTCACATACAGTACCTATGTGGGGAATCGAAGAATTGGGAAATTATCATTAGTAAAA